GGAGGAAAGACTTGGTGATCTGCTTTTGTAAAGATTACAGCCTAGGACACCCTACGGGGCAGTTCCCCTCCGTCTTTTAGAATTGCTATGAGTTGGAAACAACTCTACTGCACTTGACAGCAACAATACTTGCCTTACTCATTGCTCAGCTCTTCTTCAATTGGTCTTTTTTGAGTCAGAGCTCTCAATGGCCACAGTCCACCTGTAAGAACAGATCCAGTCACCTACTTGATGGGCCCTTTTCAAGCTATCTATCACAACAGGGTTCTCTCAGTTTGAAATATGCCGAATCCTTATCCCTTCTGTTTCTCTCTTGATGAAAAGCTGCTGAACCTTCCATTGATTCTCAAAAGGAGTTATAGTTTTCAACTGTGCATAAATCCGTTTCCGAAGATCCAGGATGTTTATTTTTGAGATCTCCATCATATTGACTTTCTTATGCTTGGCTGTATGCCCTCTAGCCATTTACTTAGTGGGAAAGTTAGTAAAAAGAAAGCGGGGGCGGGGGGGGGGGGAGAATAACACCTTATATGATTCTAGTAGCTTCTCATTCCCCTAACTGTAACAGAATTCTTTTAAAACAAATGTTGAAATAAATGTGATTGAGGTAGGGAGAATTAAGTTGAAGAGGGGATAACTGCAAGTGCCTATAAGGCAAACGCCTTCTCATTCTTTAGGCACGTGGTGGTAAAACGAGCCTTTTGGCATACTCAGCATGTGTGTGTATCTCTGACTGAAGTGACATTTCTATTCTAGAAGTGGTGTTCTAACTAAAATCATACACCACATATTGCAGAATCTCTGGTTAAAGCTTATGCACACCTGTGCTTCACTTCCTCAGTGAAAGTTTAGCAATATCTCAGTAGGCAACAGGTTAGGTATTACATGCTCCAATGTTGAATTAAGGGGCTGACTTGGACAAGCACTTATTCTCTTTGTGCCTTCAGTTACCTGGTCTGTAAAATGAAAAGGCTAAATAAGATGATTTCTTAAGTCCTTTTCAGCTCTCAATTTTTGTCACTCTTTTTAAATTAGCCAATCTGGTATTTTCCTCCCTTCATTTCTTCCTTTCCATTATCTAACTATCATCCTACTTATCTTTCCCAAATATTTTTGACATTGCTTCAGAGGTGTCCCTCACTAGATTTCTCAATTAAAAACTTCACTTTCATATCTAATTTCATATTTTAGTTTTAGAGTCCAAATGTTGTTGTTGTTGTTGTTGTTATATGCCATTGATTCAGACCCAACTCACAGCGGCCCCTTCTTGGGTTTCCAAGGTGGTATCACCATGGAAGTAGATTGCCCAACCTTTCTTCTGAGGAGTGGCTGGTGGGTTTGTACCACCAGCCTTCTGGTTAGCAGTCAAGTGCCTTAGGCACTACACTACCAGAGCTCCCAAGAGTCCAAACAGGAATTAAAAATGAATCACTGAGAACAACAGTAACAAGGGAAATTGGCCCAACATTAAATGTTGTACAGTGTTGCCTCAGTCGAGAATCAAGTTTAGCACTAAGCTTCTTGGAAGGCAAAGCAGTGAGAGGGGATTCTATATGATACATTAATTCTTGTGATTAGAATGCAGGAAATGTACCAGAATTGCAAAGAGAACAAAAATATCTATTAGTACTATACTCTGAGAAATGTCTCATGGACTACTGTGTAGGGGACAAGGTCATACTATGATCAAAAGTGGCAGTTTCATTATGATAGAAACCTTCATGGAAACAAGCAGCAATATTTGCTGTTCAAATATTTACTAACCAGCTGCCATCAAACTGATTCCAAATCATGGTGACCTCATGTATGTCAGAGGAGAGTGATGCTCCACAGAGTTTTCAATGGCTAATATTTTAGAAGTAGATTGCCAGGTCTTTCTTCCAAGGCATGTCTTGAACCTCCAACTTTTAGTAGCCAAGTGCTTTACCTATTTGCACTCCCCAGGGCTCCTATTCTGTATCAGTTATTTCCTGGGAAGCTATTTGCCTCTCAGAGCTCTCAAACAAACACAGAAACTACTGGAAAAAAAAAAAATAAGTTGATAAATCAATCATGGAGGTTTATACAAAGAGCTGTGTGGTCACAGAGGGGCAATGGCTGACACACACCAGGAAGACAGAGAAGGAAGGTAAAAAGTAATTTTTGAGGTCATTCTAAAGATAAAAATAGTGTTTATGTAATCACTGATACTTCACAAGGAATGTTACAAAGCTATCCACAGGTGCCTATGCAATTTTCCTAAGCAAATGTGATACTCACTCTGGTGGCTTATGGGCACAGTTACTGTTGAAAGATGGAATAACATTCACTGAGTCCTTACTGGCCCCAGGATAATCCACCTTTCTTGAAATGAGTAATTACAATTCATTTCTAAGGCTTCCTGTCTTAATTCTTTGAGTGTTTAAAGCCTTTCTCATGATTTACTCAAATCCTTTTTAATGGATTTGATGAGTTTACCACATTGTTATTTGTCTATAGAGAACCAAAAGCAAATTGTTTGAGTATCACTATAAGAACATTGAGGGGGAAAAAGTCACACTTGAAAGTTTTTGATGGACATCCCTTAGTGATCAAGTATTTTCAACCTCAAACATCTTTATTCAAATGAGAAGTGATTTTTTTTTCCCCCACTGAGCAATTCCCATTTCATAGCAGTGGAATAGAAAGTGACTTTCCTAGAAGCACCTAAAAAAAAGTAAGCCACAAAAATGTGGAAGAGCCTGAATTTTAAGCATCCCAATGTAGGTAATAGAAAACATCTTTATGAGGAAAATGAGCTCTCATAATAGCCTTACTGGGCGAGGTTTGTAGAGGTAGATTGAACATTTCTTCCCTGCACTTGTATCCCCAATGGAATGGAAACATTTCTGCATCTTCCTAAAGCATTCAACTGCAGCAAGTACTACATCAAAATAGTCTTGAGAGTTTGCTGTCTGTTGTGTCTAGCCACACACCCTGAGAACTTTGCCTTGCATTATGCATGGCCTCCTAACTCCATGAAAGTTTGAAAACACATGAAAAGTCTGTTACTGCCATCCTAACTTCCATTCCCTTTGACAGATTGCAAAAGGATAGCAGTACCTTGCAATGGAGCAGAATTTTCTATCATGAGGAGATTTGGAACTTCTGCAATTGCTACCAAAATTATGATGCTGCTCTCATACCTCACTCAACAGAGGATTTGCAAAGAAAAAAAAAAAAAAAAGAGAGAAAGAAATTCAGTATCAAGTCATTGTCGCACTGCAGCAAAGATAGTCTTCTGATGTGTGAGGTCAGAAATTCAGCAGCCTTTTTCAGAGATGGTATTCAGCTTGATTTTCAGTTGTTAGGATAGAGTTAAAATATGTAAATGGAAAACTTAGGTTTCCAGTTGTGGTTTATCAGTGATCAGTAATTAAGTGGAAGCACTATTAAGTCTGTACATTGCGAATGAAGAGGTATTGACTATCTAATAACTGAAAGTAAGTTGTGATACCTTCTGAAGTTTTCTTTAAAAAAAAAAAAAAATGTAAACCTTAATTCCTCCTTCCTGCTTTCCCACTAAGAAACAGGAAAGTAGCTGTTTTAAAGAATACGAAACTGGAAGTCACTGAGAAAATCACAAAGATTGGTAAAAATAAGCAGAGGGCAGTTGTTGTTCAAAGATAAACCCTAAAATAGAAACTTAATGATTCTAACAGTTGCCACCTGTTAGTACACTTTAGTGATTAGGAGAAAAAGTCTGCACAATTCATTAACAACTATCATTTATTGAAAGCATACCATGTGTCAGACAAGTTTATAGATTGTCTCAATCAATCATCATAGTAATCCTATGTGGTAGATGTTATTAATCCCTCTTCAGATGAGGAAACAAGTATAGAGAATAAGTAACTTGCATGAAATCAGCCAGCTAGTCAGTAGCAGAACAGGAGTCTCACTCAGGTCTACCTGAGACCAGTCCTGTGCTTTCTCCCACACCACTACCCAAATGCATTGGAGAGGAAATAAGTCCCTTGACTTTCAATTAGCGATATCTACCATGGTATTGCTTGATGAACCAGTTATAATAATAATAGTAATCATAGCAAAGATGAATACCACACATTTTACACGTCAAGCAATGCTCTAAGTGCTTCGCATATATCAATTTATACAGTCCTCACTCACAACAACCCTAAGACATTGGAAACTGAGCCACTGAGAGACTGATCAACCTGTCCCAAGGTCACATCATCAATGAATATAAAACATGCCCAAGCTTCAAACCCAGACTACCCAAGTCTCCAGGTCCTGCTCTTGGACACTACACTGCACTGCCTACCTAGGAGTTTTAGTCTGGATAGAGATTAAATTCATGTCCACATTTATGCCAAGTCCAGTTGCATTCTGAGATAGTTCCACCACCTTATCCCAACTTGTGAATTAAAGTGAAAGCTGAGAAATCAATGAAGTCCATGATCAGTATGAACTACCTAATGTATTCTGGAATTATTCTGCTCAAGTAGATTTCTATTAAAGAATTTACTTCACATATTTGACAAGTAAAAGAGGAATAAAAATGATGGTTATATGAAATTAATCAAATTGAATACCAAATGATTTTCAACAGCTAATGCATGCATTTCATAATGCATTTTAAAAATATCTATTGCTTATGTGGGTATATTTGCACAAAGCCATAAGAAGTATATTTTGTATTTTCTGGCCAGAATACAAGCCATGCTCAGTGTCTGTTTTGAAAATGTTCACTAATCTATAGATAAGTACAAAAGAGTTGATGTCCCTATTTTTGCTATATTAGACCAGCTGTTGAAATTAAGTGTTAACTTCTGATGAACCTTTGAGCTGTGGAATGAAAAGAGAGGGGAAAAAAAAAAAAAAAAAACTTCTGTGCTAATTTCCAGTAGTCTGAATATTATCAAGAGTTATGTTTCCATGATTTTTACATTAAGTTAAATGTCTAATCATGTGCTAATAAATAGCTAACCACTTTTCTTTATTGTTTTCTTTTTTTCCAGGTATCCCCAGTATTTCCAGTATTGGTAGTAAGTAAAAAAATAACCAAACTAAGTCTAGACTAGCTTTGCTTTCCTGTTCAGCTCCTCAGATCTATTTTCTCAGTGTCCATTTCTGATATAAGAGAGTATCCTCTTTATGAATTGAAATTGTGTCAATTTTCTACACAGATGTGGTGAATGCACAGATAAAACAGTTGTGCCTAACTCATCTGTGGTCATGGCAGACCCACAGCTTTCCTGGCTACATTTGATCAATGAAGGTCACCTCGACAGAGGTATAGTTATTTAGGAAACCAAACCTTATTAAACAAAAATATAAATAGTCCTAATTATCCATACTTAGCAACCAACAAAGAAATTGAACACTCTCCTTAGGACTGAATATGGATTTCTAACATAATTTAGAATAGCAGAGAATGAATGCCAACGAATGCCTTGGGCATATTCATTAGAACCCAAGGAAAACACCATGAGACCAAGGAGAAAGAATATTTTTAATGCATTAAACTCTAGGTTTTGTGAAGGCCTGAAAAATGCAGATTTGTGATCGTTACTCTTTCTGGATGAAAGACGGGAAAAATAATCAGTAGTTTCATTTCTACCTCCAAAAATATGGCGATCGATGTCTTCTTGACAATGTAGGTTGCAATTTAATAGAGAAAAGGTATAAAAATATGCAGAATTTAATAGAGTACTAGAACCTGTTGTGAGAAATTTTTTGTCAGGATTCCAAATAACCAGAAAAGAAACCATTCTTCAACACTATCACCTCCAGCTTTTCTGCAGCACCATTGCAAAGAGCATTCTTCCAGCTATCATGGGAGAATCAAACTATAGTTCCCTCCTCACTGGAAGAGAATGACACCCTCGCACTAAGCCTGAAATGCTCATTAAGAAAATTCCCAAAAGCCTTTCAGAGCGGAACATATATATTTTGTATATTGTGCCCTTTATCTCCAATGGCTAAAATCTTTGAACAACTGCTGAATAACTGATTGTAAATAAAGTACTAGAGAAGTTGAGATAATGCACTAGAAAAGAAAGGAAGAATTTTCACTGTGGCCTCACCCAACATAGACTTTCGTCATAGGGACTGCGTCATGCAAAATGGTCACAGTGTAAAGAGAAGCAGTTAAAGAATTGCAATGTCCAACATCCATCAAAAAGCAGTAATCTGATAATTTGGATAAGACAACTTCTTGCTTCTTATAATGCACAATCAGATCCTCCATTTTATAGATCAGCCCTTTTTACTTAAGCTTGTGAATGGGCCTAGACACTGATTTGGTAAGCACTAAATGTGTTAAATGCCATGAAAACCGGCCACTTGGTAAATAGAATTTGTGTTTCATATCCAGGTAGATACCACCTAATGCTACAGCAGCCTTTTTGTGATCTTGTTCAAACAGCATCAGTGGTACAAACTTGCAAATGAAAACCTTCTGCTTTAACAGTCTAATTTTTCTGCTTTAGTATCTCCCTTGGCATTTGCCTGTATATATATATACATATATATATACCCTACAGTGTGCTCCTTTCAGGCCTTGACAATTGCATTTGCACATCCATTCCAGAGCAAAAGGGAACCATATAGAAGCAAGATGAGAGAGGTGATTGAGGCTGCTCTGGCGATCTGGCCTACCACAAGTCTCAGAAATGGATAGATGGAAAAGTAGTTCTTGGGCGTTGGAGTGTGTTTCTGTTCCGAGTGTCAGTTGTGTGTTGCATGGACACTTTGACTGTAAGGCTCACTCAACATCTCATCTGGCTGTCTCCACCACATTCCCCATCTCTGAGCATCAGCAGATGTTGACCTTTTACACACTTAATCGGGAAATTCCAGTTTTGTTTTGTTTTGTTTTACTTTGAAATCAGTAGTGACCTGAAAGGATGCTTTGTTGTGCCTTTGGAAAACGTATTAACTTTTTTACTAGGGACTTGAGGGAATTTTAGTTCCCAATAACTAACAAAAACCACAAATAAAAAGTGATAATTTGTACTCTGCCTTCAGTATGCCTCTGGTTGCTCTGCTTGAAGTGCAATGGGTGTTTTCTCAGAGTCCAAGTAAGCAGATATAAGAACTTTCAGGGGTCACCCAACATCACACATGACTAGCTTGCCTACTGCCTGCCTTTAATGTAAAGAGATTTACAATAAGACCATCAAACACTATTGTATCTTCTAGGCTGCTTTAATGGCATTTGCACATTCCTTCTTTGTGGGCTTAGAAGGTGCTTGTTATGTGCACTGGTGGATTCCTTTCCTCTCAAAGGGCAAGAATTCACAGGCAGATGATGCCTTTTCTAGAGAGCACAGGAGTGGGGTTTCCAAGGTGCAAGCCAGAGAAGAAGGAGTTGCTTGGATTTTAACTAACTTGGGATATTTGCCAGGGCTTTTTTCTTTACCCCAAAGAAGGAATCAGTGAACTAATTCCACCAAGACTACAATGAAGATGCTATTATAAACAGATGGAACACCCTTGAGACTCTGATCCTCAATGCATATCTCAAGGAAAATAAATGATGTCTATTATTGATGTAAATTATTGATGTTGTTGTTGTTGTTGTTGTTATGTGCCGTCGAGTCGGCCCCGACTCATAGCGACCCCTCCTTGGGTTTCCGAGGCAGTATCACTACGG